TAGGGAAAAGCCAATGCAGAATTAGGGCCAGCTCACTCACTAGGCAAATTAGGCGATCGCCTAGAGTGGGAGGGCCCTTAGGGGCGCCAAGCTGCACCCGGCCCCATACTCTGGGAGTTTCTTGATTATTTGTGTTTTTTATTCTTCCTAAAATGCATTTATTTTTGAAAATTGGTGGGCGCATGGGGTGTGTGTGTGCCAGAAGAGATCCTCGCCTAGGGTGCAAAATAAGCTGGGGCCGGCCCTGTGCAGAATCACCGAGAGAGAGAGAGAGAGAGAGAGAGAGAGAGAGAGAGAGAGAGAGAGAGAGAATGAATGAATGAATGAATGAATCTTGGAGGAAGAACAGTGGAAGACGGCTGCCTGTAATACCCAGCAAACGTGTTTAAACCCAAAACAAAACAAAGCTTATTGTAGATTCAGGTAGGTCGCCATGTTGATCTGAAGCAACAGAGTAAAGTTTGAATCCAGTGACACCTTTAAGACCAACCAAATTTAATTCTGGGCATGGGCTTCCGTGCACAGGCACACCTCTTCAGATAACATTAATACATTTCGATGTATCCGAAGAAGTGTGCGCCCACACGAAAGCTTATCTCCAGAATTGAACTTTGTTGGTCTTAAAGATGTCCCTGGACTCAAATTTTGTTCCAAAGATTATTGTAAGAGCACACAGTCAGAAATGTAAAAGTTATATTTAAGAGACAAACCTGTGTCACTCAATCAACACTGTAGCATGAAGAGAGACTTGCTTTGTTTTCCTATTCATGAGATAAGTCCTCAGTAACACAGCAACAATACCCTTTCCAGGGTCTTTACCGCAAGATTCCAAAGTGCTGTGGTCATCGTGGTCAAAGTGGAGCGAGTGTTCTGCCAAATGCGACCAAGCCGGGGTCCAGATTCGGACCAGGAACTGCCTGGTGGAAAGCCTCCAAGACTCACGCTGCCAAGAAGTGAGCGAGGAAGGCCGGCGCTGCATTGGACCCCCTTGCACAGGTGACTCCCGAACCCCCCACCCAGCTGATGAATTGCTGCTGGTTGTTCCATTCAGAGACAGTTGAAGTACCAAACCAGACAAGATGTGAGGAGCTCATCGTATTGAGCTCCCAAGAGGGATCTTTAAAGGCTTTTAAATAACTGGCATCTGGGGCTCCAGTTTGAACCAGGACTGTGGGAGAACATCAGAAGAGCCCTGCTGGGTCAGACCAGTGAAGGTCCATCTAGTCCAGCATCCTTCCTCACACAGCAGCCAGCCAGTTCCTCTGGAGGGCGAACAACAGGGTACAGAGACCCAGACCTTCCCCTGATGTTGCCTCCTGGATTTGGGATTCAGAGGTTTAGTGCCTCTGAATGTGGAGGTTCCCTTGCTCCCTCTAAGCTGTGGAGTCTTGTGAGCAAAAATTCTACTTTGTGAGCGACTGGCATTAAAGTTGTGAGCGAGCCATTTTGGCTACAGCTTAAATTAGTTTGCTCTGGAGCCATCCTTCCTGAGCCAAGGCAAAAACCTGTGAGCTGGAGGCTAAAAAAATGGTGAGCTAGCTCACACTAACTCAGCTTAGAGGGAACACTCCCCGTGGCTAGTAGCCATTGATAGACCTCTCCTCCATGAATCTATCTATAAGAACATAAGAAGAGACCTTCTGGACCAGACCAATGGTCTATCTAGTCCAGCATCCTGCCTCACACAGGGGCCAACCAGTTCCTCTGGAGAGCCAATGACAAGGCATAGAGACTGAGGCCTTCCCCTGATGTTGCCTCCTGGCTCTGGGATTCAGAGGTTTAGCCCTCGGTCAGAAGGGCTAGTAGCCAGTGTTCCCTCTAAGCTGAGTTAGTGTGAGCTAGCTCACAGTTTCTTAGCCTCCAGCTCACACATTTTTGTCTTAGCTCAGGAAGGAGGGCTCCAGAGCAAACGAATTTAATGCAGTAGCCAAATCGCTCAGTCACAACTTTAATGTCGGTAGCTCACAAAGTACAATTTTTGCTCTCAAGACTCCACAGCTTAGAGGGAACATTAGTAGCCACTGACAGATTTATCCTCCATGAATCTGTCTAATCCCCTTTCAAAGCTGTTAATTCCTGTGGCCACAACTATATCCTCTGGCAGCAAATCCCAGAGACTTTAATCACTCTTTGTATGAAGGAGCATTTCCATGTATTTTTATTTAATACTTATAAGGTACGATCAGGAAAATCAAGACAAGAAGCACTGCTTTCTTTTTCAAGTTTTTTTTAATGGTTTCCGAAGAAAAAAACGATCGCTCCTGTCTAACCAGACGCTTCCCTCTCCAACCCAGTTTGCAACATGACTTGCTCCATGGGACGCGTGAACGCCGAGTGCGACACCTGCATGTGTGAGGATCATCTACTCTACGGGAAAGTCTCCCTTCCGGATGGAGCTCCGGCCGCCGGCGTGGCTGTCTACCTTCAAGCCAAGGCGCCAAAGCTATTAACGGTGTCTGACGGCGACGGGACGTTCCGGGTCCCTGGAGTGTGTCTCGATGGCCAAACAGTTCTGCAGGTCAAGAAGCCGAAGTACAAGACGGCTTTGGTTACTGTGCCCCAGAGCATTCAAGGTTCCACCTCTGTCCACGTCCGGTTGAAAAAAGCTGGTAAGGAGGAGATGTTTCGCGCATTTGCTTGAAGTTCAGGGGTTGTTTTGTAGAAAAAGAGCTAGGGGAACTCATTAGCATAACTCATTAGCATATGCCACACCCCCTGACATCACCGAAAGTGTGTCATAAGGCCACACACCCCACCCCCCAACGGTCCCGGCCGCCGCCGCTGGCCTTGCAGCTCCACTGCCGAGCCCCATGAGGGGCCCAGCGGTGGACCTGCAAGGCCGGCAGGAGTGCGAGGAAGCCCCGCGAAGGCCCTCCCTGGCCCCAGGCAGGCAGGGGTGGGGAGAGGCAGGGAGGAAGCAACTTACCCTCCCTCTTCTCCTGCCTCCTCCTGGCTGAATGAGGGCCGGAAGCGGGGCGGCCGGAAGCAGGGGGCGGGGCTTCGTCATGTGCCCCGCCCCCCGCACCTCACCCGGGGGAACTGCGATTCCCTGCGATCCCCCCCGAAATGTTGAAGTTGTTGAATTTGAGGTGGCCCTTCAGTCTTTTGTCTTGGCCGCCCTGGGATGTCTGGAATGGCACGAGATATACTGGCGGGACTATATAAGGCCTGTGGAGTCTGAACGAATGCCTCACACGGGCCACCCAAGTGTTGGTCTGAAGCCGCAGAACAAAGTTGGGAGTCCAGTGGCACCCTGAAGACCAACAAAGTTTGTTTCTGGGTATCAGCTTTCGTGTGGGCCATGACCCCTGGCATAGCTTTCTGAGTGGTCAAAAGCTTATACCCAGAATCAAACTTTGTCGGTATTAGAGGTGCCACTGGACTCAGATTTTGCTCTACAGGCCACTCAGGGAATTGTGTGAGAAAAACCAGGTAACAATTGGCTAAGGCTAGATTCCAGCAGCGCCTCAGAGACCAACGAATTTTCAGGGTGTCAAACTTTAGAGCAGGGGTGTCGAACATAAGGCCCGGGGGCCGGATCCGGCCCATCCAGGGTTTTTATGCGTCCCGCAAGCATCTGGTGTAAGGGAGGGAACAGGAGACTGCTGAGGGGGGAGTGGGCGGAGCCACCCCGATTGTGGCTTCGGCACGGCGGAACAACTTTGTTTGCAGTCAGTGTAGGAGCGTCTGCCCAATGCTGTAGCGCTGGCTGTTCAGTCTGCCCATGCGGGCTTTCCTTTGCCCCTCCTTTCTAATGCACGAGGGCTCGCAGTGAGGGTACACCAACACAGAGCTGACCGGCTGCTGTCCTTACGGTCTATGCCTCCTGTACCTGCCATTACGTTTTATGGCACACGTGGTTTGGCCCAAGAAAGTGATATTGACGTCAGATCCGGCCCTCGTAACAAATGAGTTCGACACCCCTGCTTTAGAGGGTCAAAGGGCCCTTCGGTCAGATATGTTTCAGGCAATGACTCTTGAAAAGCCACACCCGGGAAATGTGGTTGGTCTCGACGGCGGCACCGGAACTCGAGTCTAGCTATCCTATTGCAGACCACCACGGTCTTCTCATTCGCTTCGGCGTAGACCACGTCCCAGCTGAAGACAGTTTCAGGCATGTTCCGTCTGCAGCAGAACCGCCAGATTCAACCCCAGCAAACCCCTTAGAGGACAAACGAGATGTCCAGGGCAATGTTCCCTCTAAGTGGTGGTCTTGTAAGCAACAATTCTACTTTGTGAGCTACTGACATTAACGTTGTGAGTGAGCGATTTGGCTGCTGCATAAATTAAGTCTGCTCTGGAGCCATCCTTCTTGAGCGAAGACAAAAATGTGTGAGCCGGAGGCTAAAAACCTGTGAGCTAACTCACGCTAACTCCACTTAGAGGGAACACTGGTCCAGGGTGTATGCTTTTGAGAGTCAAAGCTCTGTTTATTAGATACCAAAGCTCTGAATCTCGAAAGCTTCAACCCTGGACAACTTGCTGGTGTCTAAGGTGGTATTGGATTCTAATCTAGCTCTTCCCGTATGGAGGCTCCATACATCCATCTCGGAGTTTGAGTGGGTTAATATGGGTAAAGTTGGGGTTTTTTAGGTGCTTTGGAGAAAGGCCTTGAAGGCTAAAACCAGTGGGTTGAACATGACCACCTTCCACACTCGTCTCGCCCAGTTGTCCTCTTCACTACGGCCTTGATCCTCCACGACGTTTGTCCCCGTAGCTCCCATGACCCCTGGCATAGCTTCCTGAGCAGTGTTCCCTCTAAGCTGAGTTAGTGTGACCTAGCTCACAGTTTTTTAGCCTCCGGCTCACACGTTTTTTGTCATAACTCAGGAAAGATGGCTCCAGAGCCAACTAATTTATGCAGCGGCCAAATCGCTCGCTCACAGCTTCAATGCCGGTAGCTCACGAAGTAGAAATTCTGCTCACAAGACTCCACCGCTTAGAGGGAACATTGTTCCTGAGTGGTCAAAAGGACCCTCTTCTCCACCTCTCGCCACCAGAAAAGCTAGCAGGATCCCACCTGGAAACGAACTGGGAACGGATGCATCCATGTCGGGATTTTGAAACGGTGGGCGTTTCCACACTGGCTTCAAGGGCAATCCTCTTCTCCCCTCAGACAAACCCTACATAACCAAGCAGCCGGAGAACAAAGCCCGAAGAGAGGGACAGGGTGTCTCTTTCTGCTGCGAAGCGGCTGGAGATCCAGCCCCGGAACAATATCTTTGGTAAGGAAATTAATTTAAAAAATACTATGTGTCGTTGGCTTCTTGGTGGGGGAAAAGTGTCGTCATGTTGCAGCAGACTTATCGTGGCCCGGTAGAGTCTTCAAGGCAAGAGACCTCAGAAGTGGTTTTGCCCTTATCTGCCTCTGCGTAGCAACCTTGGACTTCCTTTGGCGGTCTCCCACCCAAGAAGTAACCAGGACTAACGCTGCTTAGCTTACGAGATCTGACGAGATCTGGCTAGTCTGGGCCATCCAGGCAAAAGCAAGAGATGAACAGAGGTGGTTTTGCCCTTATCTGCCTCTGCGTAGCAACCTTGGACTTCCTTAGAGGTCTCCCACCCAAGTCCTAACCAAGGCTGACCTTGCTTAGCTTCCAAGATCAGATGAGACCAGGACAGCCTAGGCCATCCAGGCAAGAGATGAACAGAGGTGGTTTTGCTCTTATCTGCCTCTGCGTAGCAACCTTGGACTTCCTTTAGTGGTCTCCCACCCAAGTCCTAACCAAGGCCGACCCTGCTGAGCTTCCAAGATCAGATGAGACCAGGATGGCCTGGGCCATCCAGGTAAAGGCAAGGGATGAACAGAGGTGGTCTTGCCCTTATCTGCCTCTGCGTAGCAACCTTGGACTTCCTTTAGTGGTCTCCCACCCAAGTCCTAACCAGGACTAACGCCACTTAGCTTCTGAGATCTGACAAGACCAGGCCAGCCGGGGCCATCATGGTAAAGGCAAGACACATACAGCGGTGGTTTCCCATTGCCTGCCTCTGTGTAACAACCAGCCCTGTGTAACAACTAGGGCGAACCCTGCTTAGCTGACAAGATCAGGTTAGCCTGGGCCATCCGGGTCAGGGTAGAGTAGAGCTAGGTAAAGGTAAAAGTTTCCCTTGCTCAAAAGGCAGATGAATCCAACTCTAGGGATGCGGTGCTCATCCCCGTTTCCAAGCCGAAGAGCCAGCGCTGTCCGAAGACGTTTCCATGGTCATGGACCCGGCATGACTAAACGCCAGGGCGCACGGAACACTGTTACCTTCCTACTGAAGTGGTACCTATTTATCTACTTGCAATTTCTTGCTTTTGAAGTGCTCAGTTGGCAGGAGCTGGTGCCAGAGACGGGCGCTCACTCCGTCACGTGACACTCGGGTCTCGAACTGCTGAACTACTGACCTTCCGGTCTGCAGCTCAGCATCTTAAACTCTGAGACACCACAGCCCTAGAGTAGAGCTCGAAAACCCAAAATGGCAAGAAACTGGGGGGGGGGGGATGACCTTGATCTCATATTTCGAATTTCCTTTTCCTGAAATTCTGACAGGTTCCACAACGATACTTTACTGGACCCTTCGCTCTACAAATACAAAGGCAACCTGGTGTTAAAGAACTTGAAAATGGACCAGGCAGGCCAGTATTTCTGCAAGACAAGCAACGACGCAGGATCCGTGAAGTCACAAGGGGCCACTCTCTTGTTAATAGGTGAGATACTTTGAGAAGAAGCTTGGCTGGAGAAGGAAGAGGTGGGGTAGGGACAGGGGTAATTTCGTAGAACAAGAGGAGCAGGAGCTCATTAGCACAACTCATTAGCATAACTTATTTGCATAGGCCACACCCCCTGACATCACCGGAAGTGTGTCAGAAGGCAACACCCACCGCTCAGGCTCCACGGGACTGTTTTGGATTGCTAGCAATGGGGGGGGGGACACACACAGATCCTCATGCTCCTCGTGGACTGGGGCTGCTGGGAGCAGGGGGCGGGGCTTGTTGCATGTGCCCGCCCCCTGGGCTCTTCATTGCCGGAGCTCCGCTCCTGTGCACTCCTGCAGGAAATGACCCCTGGGTAGGGAACATCACATTGCATATGCAATGAAGAACAGGGTAGTCCCTGAGCCTACATGTGCATGATTTTTAAATAGTTGCTTCAGCAGTAGCTGCCACCACTGCACAAGGATTGTCACTGTGTAGGGATGGGCACAGACCTGAACCCAAGGCAAAAACTTTGCCCAGTTCGGGCTCACGGTTCGCGAACGATACTTTCGGCTCGATTTGGTTCGGGATTTGACCCCCCAACACACTCATGTCACTTCCGGGTGACATGGATCCACTGGGGGCACACTTGCGTCACTTCCGGATGACACGGGGATGCCAGAGGCAGGACCCCGATGCCACCTGAACCAGTTCATTTCAGGTGGGTTTTTTGCTCAGGGGTTCAGTTCAGGACTCGGTTCCGGCTTGCGAGCCCCGAACCGAACCGGGCTTTCCCAGTCTGTGCCCACCCCTATCACTGTGTGACAAATGATAAACTGGGTATATGAAAGAAAATAATGCATTCGTTTTAAAAGGCATTCTCTTAAACTCAGTTTCCGCCTGAAATGTTGAAGAGTTACTATTAGATTATGCATGATCTCACTCCCTGGGATTTTGCAGTTGGCTCCACCTCTTCTGGCAGACACTTTGTGTTTGCGCCCAGCATCAGAATCCCAAAGGTGCCCACAGGCTCAAAAAGGCTGGGCACCCCTGCAGTAGCCGCAAAGCCACACAATTTGACACGCATACCATACAGCGCTCATATTCTTCCCCTCGGGAAGTAGCATTAGTCGCCTTGGTCCAGAACTTAGATTTGTCTTTTGCCAGGTACAGCTGCTCCGCATAAGGTTTTAGCAACAACCAGGACAACTGGAGATGGTGAGTACAGAAAAGCTTGCACTGTTATACTAATGTACAAACTCTATTTCGACAGCGAAGGACGACACCCCCTGCAACCCCACGCCCGACAGCTATCTCATCCGACTGCCACATGACTGCTTCCAAAACGCAACTGGCTTCTACTACAACGTTGGCAGGTGCGCGTCAGACACCTGCGTGGGAACGTTGGACAACAGTCTCCGGTGCAAGGACACCACTGCACATTGCTGCGGGGTCTCCAAGATGGAGACGCAAGAAATCATGTGTGCTGGATACACGCTTCCCATCAAAGTGGCCACTGAGTGTGGGTGTCAAAAGTGTGTCAAAACCAAAGCCACTGTTCGAGGGAGAGCCGTAGCGTTCGATACCGGGGAGCCCATGAGGTTTGGCCATGTCTACCTGGGGAACAATCGGATCAGCATGACCGGCTACAAGGGAACCTTCTCCATTCAAGTGCCCACTGGCACAGATCGTCTGGTTCTCACATTTGTCGACCGCCTGCAGAAGTTTGTGAACACCACAAAAGTGTTGCCTTTCAACAAAAACGGCGGGGCTGTCTTCCATGAGATCAAAATGTTAAGGAAAAGCCCACCCGTGACTCTGGAATCAACGAAGACCAGCATGATCTCTTTGGGAGAGATGGAAGGAGATGATCCAATAGCCACGCTGGAAATTCCTCCCGATACGTTTTATAGACAAAATGGAGAACTTTACGTGGGGAAAGTGAAAGCCAGTGTCACCTTCCTGGATCCAAGGAATGTCTCCACTGCGGCCGCAGCACAAAGCGACCTGAATTTCGTGGATGACGAAGGCGACATGCTCCCACTGCGGACGTACGGCATGTTTTCTATGGATTTCACCGATGAATCAACCACTGAGGCACTCAACGCAGGGAATGTAAGAGTCCATCTTGATTCTGCTCAGGTGAAGATGCCGGAACATCAGAAAGGGATGAAGCTTTGGTCTCTAAACCCACATACGGGTCTATGGGAGGAGGAAGGAGAATTCCATCTCGACCAAAGGAGGCGCAGCAAGCGAGAGGAGAGAACGTTCCTGGTGGGCAACATGGAGATAAGAGAGAGGAGGCTTTTCAATCTCGACGTCCCGGAGAACAGGCGGTGCTACATCAAGATACGGACTTACAGAAGCGAGAGATACCTGCCCAGCGAACAAGTTACGGGGGCTGTGGTTTCTGTTATCAACTTGGAACCAACACCGGGATACGCTACCAATCCTAGGGCCTGGGGCCGTTTCGACAGCGCCGTCACCAGCTCCAACGGAGCTTGCGTGCCAGCATTCTGCGACGACCAGAACCCAGACGCCTACAGCGCTTACGTCATGGCGAGCCTTGGGGGAGAAGAACTTGAAGCCGTCCCCTCATCTCCCAGGTTTAACCCTCTTGCCATTGGAGTCCCACAACCGTACCTCAACAAGCTGAAGTACAGGCGGACGGATCACCTCGATCGTAACGTAAAGAAAACCGCTTTCAGGATCAGCGTGGCCAAACCGACTCCCAACGTTGCCGAAGAGAGCAACGGCCCCATCTACCCTTACGAGAAGGCGAGAGAATGTGAAGTAGCTCCATACTTCGCCGCTCACTTCCGGTTCTACCGAGTCGAGGGAGACAGGTATGACTACAACACCGTTCCTTTCAACGAGGATGACCCTTTGAGTTGGACGGAAGACTACTTAGCCTGGTGGCCGAAGCCGATGGAGTTTAGAGCATGTTACGTGAAGGTGAAAATAAACGGACCCGTTGAGGTGAATGTGAGGTCTCGCAACATGGGTGGTACACATCCACGCACCGTCGGCCAACTGTACGGCATCAGAGACGTGCGCAGCATCCGGGACATGGATCGTCCCAATCTTTCAACAGCATGCTTGGAGTTCAAGTGCAGCGGCATGCTGTACGACCAAGAACGTGTGGACAGGACACTGGTGAAAATTATCCCACAAGGTAACTGCTACAGAGAGAGCGTCAACAGCATGCTGCACGAGTATCTGGTAAATCATCTCCCAGTGGCTGTGAATAATGACTCCAGCCAGTATACTATGCTGGCTCCTCTAGACCCTCTTGGCCACAACTATGGGATCTACACCGTTACTGACCATGATCCTAGGACAGCCAAGGAAATAGCTCTGGGCCGATGTTTTGATGGAACGTCTGACGGTTCTTCCAGAATTATGAAGGGCAACGTGGGCATAGCATTGACTTTTAGCTGTCAGGAAAGAGATGCCCAGCAACAAAGCGTATTCCAGTCACTGCGAAACCTACCCAGCCAGTATTCAGCAAGTCCTCTTAGAGAAAGAATCGCCGTAAAGAGGCCGAGCAGGAACCGGGTGGTTCAGATCCAGGGGAAAGGCGTTCCTTCCGTTAGAATTCCACAAAGAGTCCAATGAGATTGTGTACACCAAGTCCTTAGTCTATGGGAAAGCCAACATAAGAACATAAGAAGGGCCCTGCTGGATCAGACCAGTGGTCCATCGAGTCCAGCATCCTGTCTCACAGAGTGGCTGACCAGTTCCTCTGGATGGCCAACAACAGGGCACGGAGGCCGAGGCCTTCCCTGATGTTGCCTCCTGGCTCTGGGACTCACAGGTTTCGTGCCTCTGAATATGGAGGTTCCCCACAGTCACCATGGCTAGTCGCCACTGATAGACTTATCCTCCATGAATCTATCCAATCCCCTTTTAAAGCAGTTTATTCCTGTGGTCATAACTACATCTTCTGGCAGTGAATTCCACATTTTGATCCCTCTCTGTCTGCATCATGTCTATTTGTGCAGATCAATGACAGGGAAGTCTCTATGTGATGATCGACAGAATCCTTCCCAAAACTGAAGCATAAGGAAAGCTTCTGCATATATGAAGTCGGCCCGCTCGATGCCCTTCATGGACATCTGGGTCTCATCCTGAAAGTGCATTGAAATGTTTGTAAATAACCAGTATTTAACTCTAATAAGAAGGCAGGAGTTCAGATATCTAAGCACCCAGTAGCCAGGGGCACACAAAAAGATTGAACCTGACAACGGGCCCCATTTGTCAATGAAGATTATGACTTCATAGCGAGCTTGAATCCTGGCACCTTTCAGTACAATATTGTCTCAAAGGAACGCAGCACAGGAAGAAGTAACAGGTCAGGGCGGATTAACCAGAACAAAATCTTCCTCACACACTTCTTCTGCCCTGTGGTTTTGTGGGCTTGCAAACATCTTTGTATCCCCGTCAAAGATGATGCCTACTTACAAACAGGCCTCAGTCCACTCGGTTAGGGCCCAGATCATGCACCATTAACAAAGAGCTGCCTTAGGAAACAAGGGGAAAACAGGGCCTTAAATATTTTAATTAATAAATCTCCCGTTTGGATTTCAACTGACTCCAGGTTTCGAAGTTGGCTGTTTCGAAGAAAACTGCACTCCAAAGATCAGCTCTGTTCAAACGTCTACCGAGCAACTATGATTTTGTATTTCTGCAGAACATTAACTATTGTAAAAAGTCAGCATGGGGGGGGGGAGGGATGGAACGTCAGCCGTAAAGCAGTGTATATAAGCTATTTTCCTGATAACATAGCCACGGCAGACTAGTTAGCCAACGGTAACCAATAAAAAGGAATAAAGTGATTCCTTCATCGTGAACTTAACGGTAAGGATTTGTACTTGAAATGTGAATAATATTTATTGCCCCTACTCGGTCTCCCAACTGTGTGTGAATTCATTGGTAAGGATCCGCGGATTAACTTGCTGTTTCGTAGCACTGCCCGAAACCTTAAGGCAACCTGTTGTCCATGGCTGGTATCCTAAGAAATGGAAGCTGCTGCGGCCCAGGACTTCTGGGGGCGTTCACCGCTGCCAGGTCCCCCAACACGCCCTTTCCCTGCCTACTTATTTGTGAGCGCTTCCTCACCCCATCAGGGAAAGGGCCACGGGCAGTGTGGGTGGCTCTGAGCATAGGCAGTGAGAGAGCTTGCAAGCAGGCCAGGGAAAGGATGTACAGGCACACACACGGGGGAGTGGGCAGGAAGGGGACCGCTGGGAACTCTCTGACTGGGGGCACTCAGGGGTCCCCACAGGCCCGTAGCCAGGATTTTGTGGCTTGTGGGGCAAAACGTTTTTCTGGTGGGGCTGCCATGATTTACCATAATGAAGCGGCGGGTGGTGTGTACCCCCTTCTCCCTCCCCCCCTGCAAGATTTAAAGGGCCTTCCAGCCGATCGGTAGGGAACATGTGGCCCACCGATCACCGAGAGGGCCCTTTAAACCTTGCAGGAGGGGAGGGGGAGGGGTGCACGCCCAGTGTTCCCTCTAAGCTGAGTCGGCGTGAGCCAGCTCACAGTTTTTTAGCCTCCGGCTCACGCATTTTTGTCTTCGCTCAGGAAGGAGGGCTCCAGAGCAAACTGATTTATGCAGCAGCCCAGTCGCTCGCTCACAACGTCAATGCCAGTCGCTCACTAAGTAGACGTTTTGCTCACAAGACTCCACAGCTCAGAGGGAACACTGGACTGCACGCCATCCCCCACGTCGTCTCAAAAGCATTTAAAGGATCCCTTTTGGGAAGAAGTGGGGGGGGGCTTTAGGAAGCAGGGGCTTTCAGGAAGGGGGCGGGCCCTTTAACGAAGGGGGCTGAGCCCCCCACAGCCCCACCCTAGCTACGGGCCAGGGCACCCAATCCTTTTCAGCCCACAGGCCCCTTTGGAATTCTGACATCGCGTAGCGGGCACAGTCACAAAACCGCTGCCACAAAACGTTTGCTGAAGGAGGCCGAGCCAGCCACAAAATGGCCGCCGCAGCCTACCTTCTGTCACACAGTCCTTGTGCTGTGGTGGCTGCCGCCGCCAAAGCAACGGTTCAATCAAAAGCCCTCCTGGGCCAAAGCCCCTCTTGGGCTCGCCCACTTTCTAAAAACACTTGGTGGGCACCACGTTGGGTACCCCCAGTCTAACCTTTCCGGGGAGGTTTCGGCAGCTTACACACCATGTGTTAAAATTTGTCCCCCCAGTCTTGCTCCGAAGCTCACAGCGGAACTAGATAATACCAAGCACCACGGCAACACACCGAGTTGACATTTACCAGGGCCGTTCATGGACCCTTTTCTCCACCCTAAAATCTACCGACACTCGGTTGAAATGATAAAACAGAAGCACACTAGTCACTCCTGTAGTGGAATACAATACAAGAACTCATGGGCACTCCATGAAATTGCTGAGCGGTCGGGTTAGAACAGATAAAAGGAAGTCCTTCTTCACCCAAAGAGGGATGAACACACGGAATTCACTGCCACAGGAGGTGGCGGCGGCTACAAGCATGGGCAGCCTCAAGGGGGAATTGGATAAACATATGGAGCCGAAGTCCATCAGTGGCTCTTAGCTACAAGGTATAGATAGGAACTCACAGGCTGGGGCAAGGGATGCTCTGTATTCTTGGTGCTTTTTTGGGGGGGGCAACAGTGGGAGGGCTTCTAGTGTCCTGGTCCCACTGCTGGACCTCCTGATGGCACCTGGTATTTTTGGCCACTGTGTGACACAGAGCATTGGACCGGATGGGCCACTGGCCTGATCCAACATTGGCTTCTCTTATGTTCTTATGTTAAGTTTTATCAAATGGCTTTAAAAGGCAAACTTCCCTTGCCCCACCCAGAACACTGTATTGCATCAACAGATCAGTCTTAATTAATGTTTTGTGCTGGATTTTTAAGTACTGTTCTCGCTCCTTTGGGAGTCTGTTTAAGGATGACAAATAGATAAAAGGTTGCCCGGGGCCTGCTGGTACTGATCTCAGCTGCAAAAACCTTGAGCATCGGTCCGGTTGGCCCTTTGCCAGGAAAAAAACTTTCCAAAGCAGTAAGAGATATTTCCCAATCCATAACATAAATGGTATCTGTAGCACACAGCGCCCTCTGCTGGCTCATTGTTATATCAGCCAGCAAAACATCCGTTCTTCCAGACAGGTGGGTCATTGTGCAGAGACAGCCTGCGAGCTTTCCAAGGACCCCGAGAGTTTAATGGGGCCGAAGGCAGTCTTTCTGCAGTAAGGGAGGTGCTGTGGCCCAGTGGCAGAGCATCTGCTTTGCATGCAGGAGGTCCCAGGTTCAATCCCCGGCACCTCCAGTTAAAAAGGATCAGGAAGTAGGTGGTCTGGAAGACCTCCGCCCGAGACCCTGGAGAGCTGTACAGAGGGGCTGTGGCTCAGTGGGAGAGCATCTGCTTTGCATGCAGGAGGTCCCAGGTTCAATCCCCGGCACCTCCAGTTAAAAGATCTGGCCGTAGATGATGTGAAAGACCTTTCTCTGCCTGGGACCCTGGAGAGCCACCGCCAAACTGAGAAGACAAGGCTGACTCTGATGAACCGGGGGGGTCTGATTCCGTATGAGGCCGTTTCATGTGTTCACGTGATCCTTTGCACAAGCAAGCACGTGCCCAGTGATGGGGGGCTAGGCCAACCAGCGCCAGGAGAGCAGGCAATCCCAAGAAGGATTGCTTTCATTTCATCCATGGGACTGAACGGTTGTGAATTCGTCACACGGCAAAAACAAAAGACAAAAGGCCGCACGAGAGGGCTTACCCCTACTCCTTTCGGGCTCCTGCTGACCTCAGCCCTTGAGAACCAAGCCTGCTTCTGGATTCAGTTTCTTGGCCACACCAGAACTTGGGCCTTTAGATATTGTTGTTGTTCATTTGCACAGTCGAGTCCGACTCTTCGCGACCCCATGGACCAGATCACGCCAGGCCCTCCTGTCTTCCACCGTCCTCTGAAGTTGGCTCAATTTCATGTTCGTTGCATCTATGACACTGTCTAACCATCTCACCCTTTGCCGTCCCCGTCTTCTTTGACCTTCAATCTTTCCCAGCATCAGGGTCTTCTCCAGTGAGTGCGCCCTTCTCATTTGGTGGCCAAAGTATTTGAGCTTCAGTTTCATTTTCTTGCCTTCCAGGGAATAGTCAGGGTTGATTTCTTTTAGGATTGACTGATTTGATCTCCTTGCAGTCCAAGGGATTCTCAAGAGTCTTCTCCAGCACCATAGTTCAAAAGAATCTATTCTTCGGCGCTCGGCCTTCCTTATAGTCCAACTCTCACAGCCATACATTTGTTGTTGTTCAGTTGCACAGTCGAGTCCGACTCTTCGCGACCCCATGGACCAGATCACGCCAGGCCTTCCGGTCTTCCGTCGTCCTCTGAAGTTTGCTCAATTTCATGTTCGTTGCATCTAACACTGTCTAACCATCTCATCCTTTGCCGTCCCCGTCTTCTTTGACCTTCAATCTTTCCCAGCATCAGGGTCTTCTCCAGTGAGTGCGCCCTTCTCATTTGGTGGCCAAAGTATTTGAGCTTCAGTTTCATTTTCTGGCCTCCCAGGGAACAGTCAGGGTTGATTTCTTTTAGGATTGACTGATTTGATCTCCTTGCAGTCCAAGGGACTCTCAAGAGTCTTCTCCAGCACTGCTGATGCTGGTGCCTTTAGATATACTTGTTTATTTATTCATATTTTTAGGCCACCCTTCCCTGCAAGCAGGGCTCAGACCTGCTTACAACGAAGGTGTATGCAATAAAGCTAAAACCAACAATAAAATACATAAAACATATATCAACAAATAAAACAATCCAATTCCATGATGGTGGAACAAATTTCAGCCTCCACAACCCTCCCGGGGAGGGGGGTTTGTGGAGAATGGAGGGTGTGAGATTAGAATATTGATATTTTTGTTTAAGCCCTGCTGGAAGGGCACACGACATGGCCTGCTGCCAGGGTGGTGTAGTGGTTAGTGTCAGACTAATCTGGGGGAACCAGGTTCGAATCTTCACTCTGCCACGGAAACTGGCTGGGTGGACCTGGGGCCAGTCACAAACTCCCAGCCTGACCTACCTCACAGGGCTGTTGTGGGGACAACAATGGAGGAGCGGAGAATGACGTAAGGCGCTTTGGGTCCCCATGGCTGAAAGGTGGAGCACACACAAAGTAAATAAATTGCAATTTTGCCAAAGATAAGCAGGTCTAGGGGCCGGTCAGTGGCCAAGTGGGACACCAGCGAAACACCACCCAAATATAACACCCGGAGCTCTCTGACGTTATATACATTACTGCTAGAAAAAGGTACTCATTCCAGAATGCATATTTTTGGAGCTGCGGTGGCTCAAGTGGTTAAGACGCTGAACTGCAGGCTGTGGAAGGTCGGTAGTTCAGCAGTTCGAGACCCAGGTGCCGCAAGACGGAGTGAGCTCCCGTCTCTAGTTCCAGCTCCTGCCAACCTAGCAGTTCGAAAGCAAGAAATTGCAAGTAGATAAATAGGTACCCCTTTGGTGGGAAGGTAACAGCGTTCCGTGTGCCTTGGTGTTTAGTCATTCCGGCCACATGACCACAGAAACGTCTTCGGACAGCGCTGGCTCTTCGGCTTTGAAACGGAGATGAGCACCGCAACCCTAGAGTCGGATTCGACTGGCTTTCGAGCAAGGGAACCTTTACCTTTAGGATGCATATTATAGGTCCACATGTGTATGGGGGGGCAATTCCCACCCCCCCCCATTTCTCCTGAGGATGCTCCAACCGGCAAGCACGGCATTTCAAAGGGAAAGA